TGAGACAATTTAAAAATGACATTATATGCTTGCAAGAAACACACATAGCATTGAAAGATCAAAAGTTAATATTTAATTCCAAACTGGGACAGCATTTTATAGCTTCTGCCCCGAAGAAAAAGGGTGGAGTTGTGGTATATGCAAAACAAGAACTATCGCCAAAGTTAATAGAATTAGATGAAGAAGGAAGATTCGTTATTATTGAAATACTGATGGATGGGAAAAAATGTTTAGTGGTGGGTATATATGCTCCTAACCAGCAAAGTGAACAGAAACAATTCATCGCTATCTTATCTATCTCTTTCTTTTTCTCTATCTGTCTGTCTGTCTGTCTATCATTATCCATCCATCATCTGTCTGTCTGTCTGTCTATCTATCTATCACTATCTATCATTATCCATCCATCATCTGTCTGTCTGTCTGTCTGTCTGTCTGTCTGTCTGTCTGTCTGTCTGTCTGTCTGTCTATGGGCCACCATCTAGCCAAGAGACGTGAGCACTGGTGCACTTACATGGCGGGGGTGCCAGGCGTCTGAGGATTGTAGGGAGGATTAACAGGCGGGGAGGAAGGGTCTGGATAGCCTGGGGTCTGGGGGTTGGGGGTCGCCCCATAGCCTTGGGGAGAAGGCGTTGGCTCATCGTCAAAACCGTAGTCAAACTCTTCCTCTGTCCTGTAGAAGAAGCCAAATACCCAGTTCAGCCTCGGGGCTCCCCCAGCCCTGCCTCCCTTCCCCAGACCGGAAGGCCAACCTGGAAGGGGTGTTGGGATCCCAGGCGCCGCTCTGGGCGGGTGTCCGGCTGCCATCGTGTAAGGGTGTTTGGGAGCCGTAGTGCGGCGTCCGGTTTCCTGAAAAACAGACCCGCCTCACGTATACAGGCAGTCCTTGGGGTGCAGGGCTCCACCAGCTCGGGGGCCAGCCCCTTCTCAGGCAGCCTGCCCTCTCACACCGTGTCCTCAGGATACGGAATTCAACTGCCTCGTTGTTCAAACACCCGCTAAGGCCTTCGAGGTCAGATGCTAAGAAACCCACCGACCTCTCCTGGCCAGAGAGATGGGCGGGCCACCCGCTTCCTGCTACTCACCATCGTGCTGGGTGCCATACATGGGCGTGCGGGAGCCCGAGGCGTACATCGGCGTCTGGGAGCCGTACATGGGGGTCCGTCCATAGCCAGAGGGCATGCCAGACGGCTTTTTGGAATCTCTGCAAAAGGAGGAACGTCCGATAAAGCTGGCACATCATCCCGTTCGGCTCGGTTGGGTCCCGAGTCTAGCCCAGAGCTGCTCCGTCCTACCCAGAGGACTTCTGAAACCAGGCTCTCCCTCCCTCCCGCCCTCCCCATCTCAAATCTGGCTCCCGGTGGCTCTTACACAATGGTGAGATGCTCCCGATCCACCGAGATGGTCTGGCACGTGGAGTGCAGCTCTACCCTGGCAGTGGATTCCGTGGCATCCTTGACCATCCCGATGTAGCCTGGAAAAGACAAGCGCAGAGGCTCCAGAGGCAGGTGTAGGGGGCGGTGTTAAAAGAGGGTTCAGCCTAGAATCTCTATGTAGCCGCAAATGAGCAAAGTCCGATTCTGTCGATCCTAGGACGGGGGGTGGCGGTGGGTGGTCAACTGTGGAACCCTTTACCACCTGTGGACTTCAGCTCCCAGAATTTCCGAGCCAGCACAGCTCAGCCTTTGAGCCTTTGATGTGGGAAAAATAATCAGTGTGGTGACCTCTCACCTTTGTAAGACCCTCGGGAAATCCGCACCGTCTGTCCAATGAGCTCGTTATCCCGGCGCCCCCGGCCTCGGTTCATGCCGCCCCCGCCAAAGCCGCCCCGTGGCCCTGCAGAGGGTAAAAGCAGGTGTGCCAAGAGGCAGGACCTTCCCAGGCAGCCCCTGGGGTGGGGGGGTTGTGTGCATGGGGCCCTTTGCTGAAGACAGGTGTTGGGGCCACCCCAGGCAGGGTGCCAGTGTCTTCCTGCTGGGAGAGCAGATCTAACGCCTTTCCTCTTGTCCTCTTGGGAGGACACTGCCATGCGATGGGCCCTGCCAATCTCAGACAGGCACCTAGCTTATCGCTCCAGGGGAGGGGGAAGGATGGAGGGGAACCTCCCCCCAGACCCGAGAGGGCTGGCTCCCTCCTTCTACCCACCTCCAGAGCTGGGATGCATAGGGCTGCTCATCCGAGGACTCATGGGCACGAAGCCACCAGCCGTGACGTTGGTGACATCCCGGGGCTGCCAAAAGGAAATTCAGTTTGCTCTAGGGGTGAAGGCACCAAGACAGAAAGCAGGAGAGCATGAATTCTAGTCCCGCCTTAGGAAGGAAAGCCAGCTGGGTGACTTTGGGCCAGTCCCTCTCTCTCAGGCCAAGGAAGGCTTATTGGGAATGTTTGCCACCTTGAGTTATTTATTAAAATAATAAAGGGAATAAATAAATAAACAAGTGGACTTAACAGCTTGCCCAGGCCCTCGCCCCACCTTCATCCCAGCCTCGAGAGAAGGACAGGAGCCAGCCAAATTTCAGGCCAGATACGAGCAGCCTAAGAGGGCTGGTCTGGCACGAAGCTTCCCTTCCGCGAGTTCCCTTCACAGACCGGCACAAGAACGGGCATCGTGGCCTCCGTCGCCCATCGCTCAGGGCCGCCTCACCTTGGACCCCCCGGCCAGAATCAAATGCTTCGTCTTGCAGACGAACATCCCTCCGTTCTCCACCAGCTTCTTGCAGTGCAGGAAAGCAAAGCCCCGGAAGATGTGCCGGATCTCCCCCTCGCGGCCCTGGAAGGAGACAGACAAGTCACAAGGGCTCCTAGACAAGCTACTCCGTCCAGCAACCACTCAAGGTTAGCTCAAGACTGAAAAGAAGGGCCTAGAACAGGTCCTCACACACACACATACCAGTCCTTCTTTTCATTAAAGCAGGGCCCTTTTATGACTTGTGGACTTCAACTCCCAGAACTCCCTGAGGGCTGGCTGAGGAATTCTGGGAGTTGAAGTCCACAAGTCGTAAAAGGGCCAGGTTTGAAGACCCCTGCCTTAAAGGGATGAAGCCGGCCAGCGAGAGACATTTCTCCCCTTGCGGGTGGGGGGGTGGGTGGCTCACCGAATGAGACCCTTCAATGACCTTCACAATGTCCTTCACGTGGATATTGTTCTGCTCTGAGTCCAGGGATACTGCAAAGCGGTTGTCCTTCTTCCGATTCACCGCCTGGTGCCGGACAGTCACCAGTTGGTTGTTCATGCTCAGGACCTGAGTGGGGAGGAGAAGAGACCGAGGCTTAGAGCTAGGCGGGCAGGGGAGGCCAAGGGGGTGTCTGTGAAGCCCCCCTTGTATCCCCCAGGTCCATCCTCTGCCTCAGGGTGGTAGATTTGCTCCGATGGATCCTTGCGGAGCAGCTGGCAGAGAATTCTGCACCGATTTATTAATTACATTTCTATGCTGCCCGTCTCACTCCGCAGAGCAACTACTTTACGTTTCCTTAAACACGTCACATGGCATCTCTGCAGCTCTTTCCAAGCCAATACCCTCTGGCTTGGGAGTGGGAGAGAGATGAGGCCCTACACTTCTGGAGGGCATATCATCCTTATTATTTTTGTTGTGGTTGTTATTGTTATACCAGCTTTTCAATTGGGACCCTTCTCTATGACAATGAGAGCTTCCCCTCCTTCCCATGTAAATGCCTTCTGAGCAGGCTGGCTGTCTTAAATGGGGCATGGAGCAACTATCCTTTAAGAGCTTCTTTTAAAACAGTGTTTCTCAAGCTTGGCTGTTTTAAGAAGGGTGGACTTCAACTCCCAGAATTCCCTGCCAGTTAAGCTGGAGTTGAGAAACTCCGTTTTAAGGTACTGCCAGGATTTGGTGTTACAATTCCTGTTTTTACGGCACAGGATATTTGGAAATTAGGCTCATGCCAAACTGGGTAGAGGGTCCGATGATCCCCCTGGCCAGATTTGGGGTTTTTTTTTTCCCCGTATCAGTCTTGCTCAACAGCAGTCAAAGGG